TAAAGAATTTTCAAAACGATCAGCATTATAATTTATAATAAACTAAAGTAGTAAATCAATTTTTAAATTAATAATGAATTAATTAAAATGATTAGGCCCGCCTATGTGGCACCACCACAAATCAGAATTCCCTTTTAATTTATTTATTTACAAAATTAGCCTTTCCTTTCATGAAAAGTTGCGACTTTTATGAATAGTTGTGACTTTAATGAAGAGTTGCGACTTTAATGAAAAGTTGTGACTTTTATGAAGAGTTGCGACTTTTATAAAGAGTTGCGACTTTTATGAAAGGTTGTGACTTTTTCGAAGGGTTGCAACTTTTTCAAATAGTTGTAACCTTTCTGATAAGGCACAATAAACATTTGTTCACACTACCCTTTATTGTCTATAAATAGAGGAATTTCCTCTCATTAAACACAATGAAAATTCTGAACCTCCTCCTCCTTACAATTAAATATTTGTATACTTTGCTCATGCTGAGTGACTCACTGACACTATTGTTTATGTTACATATCCTGATATGTATTTTTACAATCATTAATTTATAATTTATGCCTATGTTATTAAGGCTAAATGATACGATGTAATAATTTTCATTTTCCTTGACATTATTAATGTTTGTTACTACGTAATCTTGTATGTAAGATAATATAGATTTTTTAGTTTTAATGTCTAATAAATTTTAAGTATTATTTTATAAATTTCGTGATATTAAATTCTCGCGCGAAATGCGGGTAATTTTACTAGTTTAATATACATCCCAATTTCAACTTTTGTTTCCAAGTCACTGCAAAAAAAAATTATATACTAACTTTTTTATTTGCCTGCTTTTAAGTATATGATTTAACAAAGTACTGTTTTGATTTGTGAGATTTCACCGTAGCCAAGTACATTTTTCTTCTTCTTTTTTTAATTTTCTTTTTTCTTTCACTTTCATAATATTTTTTTATGGGAAAAGGGACAGATTTACCCCCGAACTTTAATAAATGGTATGTATATGCCCTTCGTTATACTTTGCGTCCACATAAGTCCCTGCCGTTCAATTATAGGTACACATATACCCCTCTCACTAACGGACCCCTATTTTTTTACACGTGTCTTAATCCTAGTGCACTATCCGTTTGACCACTTTTTTTAACCCATAACCCAACTATCCGCCCATAACCCAATACCCACCCAATTTCCTCTAAAATGAATCATAATTAAAATACCCAAATTAATACTATTGGTCCCCACCCGATTTTTGAATTGTGTAACTTAAATGAAAAACGTGTCATATAATGTATTAACGTGTTTTTAAAATTTTGTGATAAGTTGAAATTAAAGAATTATTTATTCATATTAATGCTTAAAAAAATATGGTGGAAAATTATACGAAACAACAAAAATGAAGTGAAAGAATAGAGTAATTTCTCATCGCCAAAATGGAAATTTACAGAACAATTATATTCATTTTCATTGATATTTCACAATTGTGAATATTCGAGTAAAAGAGAAAATATAATTTCTCACTATTTTCCATTTCTGTACAATATTGAATATCCTCGAAAAAAAGACAATTTTACCCCAGTAGAAAGTCGAGATTTACAGTAATGCCCCTAGAAATCATCTTCTCTGCAGTTACGCCGGACACTGTAATTACTCTTCCAAATCCGGCGATACTGCAGTTTCCGATGCTTCCTCATAACTCTGGAAAACCCCCCATTCTTCACCGCCGACGCAGAATGCCGGCCAGATTTATGAGCGAAGGGCTCCACTTTCTCCGGCGCAAAAAACCCTTTTCTCATCTGGCACAGAGTGTCCTCATACATGTTCAATCCAGTGAGAAGAATCCCATCTAACCCATGATCAACAAATCTCGACCCGACAAAAAGATTCGGATCGAAAACCCGAACTCCATCAATAGTGACGAAATCGTCGTCGCCCCTGTTTGTTTCCACCAAAATACTATAATGGGGAAGAAGGGTGCAAAGGTATGGGGAACAGGGGAAGTAAGGTTGCGGAGTTCACTGATTGTAAGTCGGCGAGAAAGGATGACGTGGGGACCAATAGGATTAATTTGGGTATTTTAATTATGATTCATTTTAGAGGAAATTGGGTGGGTATTGAGTTATGGGGCAAATAGTTAAGTTATGGGTTAAAAAAAGGGGTCAAACGGGTAGTTCAATAGGATTAAGACACGTGTAAAAAAATAGAAATCTGTTAGTGAGAAGGGTATATGTGTACTTATAATTGGACGGCAGGGGCTTATGTGGACGCAAAGTATAACGGAGGGCATATACGTACGATTTATTAAAGTTCGGGGGTAAATCCGTCCCTTTTCCCTTTTTTTATTCAATGAGATGATATAATAACCATGTTTTATTTCTATTTCCTCTTGTGGAGTATATTATTTTTTTATTTTTTTTTTGGTTCTGTTTATGATTGCTACAATTTTATTTCACTAGAATTTGATATTTTGGAAGGAAATTATTATTTTTATATGATAGATGATAGGATTATTCCTGATTATGATATATTATCGGAATGTTTTGATGATTCAAATGTTATGAGCATGACTATTAATTATAAATTGCATAAGGAAAATTTGTCCAAACTTACACATTACCAAAGAATTGTGATATTTTTATAAATACTTTTCTTGAGGAAAGTATTCTTAGGAATCATGAGTCAAAAGAGATCGCAATTATGAAAGAACATGAATCATCAAATTCAACAAGTATTCGTTATTATTATTGATCTTATTTACTTCTATAGACACTTATATTTGATGTTATTTATAAGTTTTCAAATGATGGTTGCAGCTCAAGGTCGACACTCAAAAGATTCTATAACCGTAAGTAATTTAAAAAATATATATTTTTTCATATCATTAAATTGAATACGTCATTGTTTTATTTTTAACTTAATTTTTTAATTGTTATTGCAGCTTGTGAAGGAGTGATGAAAGCATCAAAATAGACGTGATACGGATAATTGTTTTCTCTTGTAAAAGAATATTGATATGTTTGAGTAAAATGATGTTTCGCTATTTTAGAAGACATTGTTGAATCTTTATTAAGTATTTTTTAATACATTATATACAATAAACAATTTATTATATTTCACACTATCTTTTATAAATTTTGTGTTAAATCTTATCTACATTATATGAATTAGTAGCTATAATTTTATTAAATTTGTAGCAAAACATATATAATTGCCACGGAAATACTATTTATACACATTTTCATATCAAATGAAGAACTTTTAGCTACAATTTATATCTTGTGACAATGAGTTGTGAAATTTTAGCTATCAAATATTAAATTCGTAGGTATACATATGCTCATATAATTGCCACGTATAAAGAAAATGGATAAAAAAATACTTTTTCGTAGCAAGTAATTCTTATTAAGCTTCAATGCTATATATTTCATGGCTAAAGGTATGAATTCTTAGCTACAATATGAAAATATTTGTGACAAATACATTGAGTTATAGCTATGAATTTTTATAATTCATAACAAATATGATACTATTGCCACGAGATAAGTTACAAAACTAGCTACAAAATTCAGATTTCTATGGCAAATAAATTAGATCTTTTGCTACAATACAACACCTTGTGGCAACTATATAAATATAGCTATAAATTTTATTTGTAGTGGCACAAGAATAAAATAACTTGCCATAAGTTTATTTTTGTGGCAGAAACTTGTTTCTATTGCAGCTACATACAATTTTTAATCTGTAGCTAGAAGTATAAATTCTTAGCCACAGACCATGTAAAGATTGTAGCTATTTTTTAGCCACCCTACATTTTGCTACGGATGCTATGAAACAAAATAATGTTGTTTAAGGTATAACTTTGTAATTGTTAAAGCAAAAAGTCTCACATTGGTGGTTAATAAGATGGGTGCACCTATTTATAAGGTTTGGACAATCTTCATCCCTTTAAGCTAGCTTTTGGGTGTGAGTTAGGTCTAATACCTAATTTTTACATGGTATCAGAGCAAGACCCATGTCACCGATGTTGTGGCCAAAAAATAAAAAATTGTCCACGCACTAGGAGTGAGGTGGGTCAAAAATTGCCCAAAATTGCCCACGCACCAGATGCTAAGCACTGGGCGTGAGGTGGGTCAAAAATTACCCACGCACCAGATGCTAAGCACTGGGCGTGAGGTGGGGTGTTAAAGCAAAAAGTCTCACATTGGTGTTTAATGAGATGAGTGCACTCCTTATAAGACTTAGGCAATCGTCCTCTCTTTAAGCTAGCTTTTAGGGTGTGAGTTAGGCCTAAGACCTAATTTTACAGTAATACATACACACACGACCCTTTTCTGTCAATTTAAATTGTTTCACTATAAAAGTATTAATTATTTGTGTTTAAAAAAAGATGTGTATAAAACATGTGCAAGTTTGTCTCTTCCTTCGCATGCCACTTAATGATGGACTGAGGACATTATTAATATTTCTGGCATGACCTAACCTGCCTACTACACACCCCATTTGAATGACAGGGTCTCACTCATTAAATGTGAAGGATGCTACATGTCAATATTTCATCTGGACTTATTCTACTACTATTAAAATAAAGATCTCATGAAATCAAAGCCTGCATGCTGTTCGTTAAAACCTAGCACCCTCTCTTCAATAGTAGTATAGTACTAGTCATCATTTCATATTAGTTGTTCACTTTCACCTCTAGACGTCTATTAAGAAATATGATATATGATAGTGAAGTATGTCTAGATAGGTATTTTTTCCTAAAAAAATTTCCATCATGAATAAGTGAAATTTATGTCATAGAATATGATTTTCCTACTAATTTTGGTGGGGGGCCAACGTAACGTACAATACTAGAATGCATTCTCAAATGTGCGCCAACAACTAAAGATAAGTTCATTTTGGTAGGCTGTACGATGAAGGCTGGATTGGTCCTCTCGTTCTTCTTATCTTATAACTATGCATAGACGTTGATCATCATTATAAAAAACCCTGAGCATCTCAAAGAAATTAGTAGTAATAAGTATCACAAAAATGGCATTGCCTAATAATGATATTGGAGACGAAACTAGACAAGTTCTGGCCGCTCAGGCACACATATGGAACCATATATTCAACTACATCAACTCCATGTCACTTAAATGTGCAATTCAACTTGAAATTCCAGATATCATCCATAGCCATGGCCGACCCATGCACCTCTCCGATTTAGTAGAGGCCCTCCCCATCAACAATAATGATAAGGCTAAAACTCATGATTGTGTTTACCGTCTCATGCGTATTCTAGTTCATGATGGCTTCTTTATTCAACTAGCTGAGGAGGGCTATTTACTTGCTCCGACCTCACGTCTCCTCCTCAAAGATGAAACTATGAGCATGATCCCGTTTTTGAATTTGCAACTAAATCCAAATTCGATGGATTCATGGCATTCTCTCAGCAAATGGTTCAACAACGTCAGTGACGATTCTAATAGTACTCCATATGCAACCGCTCATGGCATGCCATTTTTCAAATATGCAGAGAATGAAGCAAGATTTAACCATATATTTAACGAAGCCATGGCAAGTGATGCCCGTTTGGTCATGAGTGTGTTGATTCAAAATGGTAAGGGGCTAATTTTTGAAGGGTTGAAATCATTGGTGGATGTTGGAGGGGGTACTGGAACCGTAGCTAAAGCTATTGCGGATGCATTTCCACAAATAAATTGCACTGTCTTTGAACTCCCTCATGTAATTGAAGGGCTAGAAGGAAGCAAGAACCTGAACTTTGTGGGAGGAGATATGTTTAACTCCATTCCCTCTGCCAACGCAATTTTACTTAAGGTATAGCTTTGTAATACACAGCCCCCCCCCCCCCCCCCCCCTTTTTGTCAATTTGATGTATAACTATACATGTATTAATTGTTTGTGTTTGATTTATATGGCAAATAGTGGATATTACATGATTGGAGCGACGAAGATTGTATAAAAATATTGAAGAAATGTAAAGAAGCAATTCCAAGTAAGGAGAATGGAGGAAAGGTAATCCTAATTGAAATAGTGATGGATCAAAACAAAGACGACAAGTCATATGTAACTCAACTCTTTCTGGACATGCTTATGATGGTTAATGCTACTGGAAAAGAAAGAAGTGAACAAGAATGGGCAAAACTTTTCGTCGATGCTGGTTTTAGTGACTACAACATTAAGATCGGTGATTGAGGTTTATCCTTAATCTACTCTTGTCGATCGCAAAAGTTCAAATAAACACAAGGCTTAGCCCAATTATGTAACGTTCCAATAACATACAGTAGAAGCCAATACTCTTATCTTATGTTCCCCTGTTTGTGCATTATTTTGGAAATGTTATTCTTCATCTCCCTATGTGTTAACAAAGGAACCGCCTCTTGTATATTTATCTATTTTCCTTTTATTAATGATCCTAAATTCCTAATGCAGAGTGTATGCAAATTAAAATCTTCTTTAATCATGTAAAATTAGAAAGATTAGATATACTAAGCGCTAGTTTGGCCATGCAATATGATATCATATTATGGAATTATAAGTTGAAATTGAAGTTTTGTTTGGACATGCAATATGAAATTTTTGTGTTGTATATTTCCTCATAAACATAAGAATTTCATAAGTTGTAAAACTATTAAAGTAGCCCTAATTGTTTATTCAATCTTACCAAATAAACAAACTTTATAAAATCGCATAATAAATTATAACAAAGTTATTTGTTCTCCACTTAAGTAACTGTTTCATCCAATTTTAATTCGTCAACTTTAATTCAATAAAAAAAATTGAACATAAATTGTAGTGTACTAGTCTTTAACATAATCCTACCATATAGTACAGACAATTTCCTCAGGTTGAAACTTGCATTTCTCGATCATGTGACCGAGAAGACGAACCAACATTGTTACTTTGAGTTGTAATAAATATAAAACGGTAGAAGTAATAAATTAGGTGTTGGAGTAAATGAAGAGAACAAATTTATTACTCAACAATCAGTTGGTGTGAGTTAAAAGACTATATGTTGGTGAGAATAATAAATTTTATAAAGTAATGATGTGATTATAAATTTTATTTATATATGAAATAAATAGTTAGTAGATATAAATGTGATGCTGTTTTAACAAAATATAAACTTGTGGATTATTTTTTGTATTAAAAATATCTCAAATCATGATATAGAATTCTCATATCATGGTTTTTGAAGAATATGAAATCACATCTCATGATATGGAATCATGAGATGGAATCAGCGTAAAATCGCATGTCCAAACACTGATGCCATCTCACAATTTCATATCGTGATATGGTATCGCATGACCAAACACCTACTAACAATAAATGTTTTAGTACAATTTTCGGACTGGAAAATTTTGGTCAAATGTGAATGATATACCAAGACAATATTTCATATTTAGAAGGAAAGTCATCAAATATAAATGACTTTCCAATAGATGAATACAAAGAATTTGATTGATCACTATAGTTACCTTATCTTAAGAAATCAAATTTTAAGTATAGTAAATCTCCTCATTTCTTCTAAATATGGCATGTTATTTATCACATATCTTCTTGTTTTACTTAAAAATATATTTTAGACTGGTTTTAAGAGTCACCACGTAATTTTTAAGAAAAATCAAGAAAACCATTCATTTTCACAAGATTAAAACAGGAATCTAGTGAAAACTTGAAAAGGGTTCGAGGTTCTTATTAACATTGTAGGAAGGTTTTAAAAACACCTAAAATGTCCACTAATGTGGTTATCCGACAATTATATATTTGACTAAATTCGTTTAACTTAATTTGAATAGAACAATTTTTATAGTTAGAATCGTTTTAAAAAGGGAAAAGGGAAAAGGGAAATATTGACCTATTATTTAAGTGAGGTACTTCTCAAAATTTATTCTTTTAAGTCTTTCGAAAAGATGATCGGTTTAGTTACATTGTTAAAACGAAATGAGCATCTCTCGGGGATTTGAACTTGTCGACCCTAAGATTAACGACAAATACTAACAAACAAAACAAACACAGTAAAGTAAGGAGGGAAAGAGGGTTGGGCCCAAATCTGGTTTCTGTCCACCTGGACCAGTACTTGGGCCTATTTTCGTTTTGGCCTTTTAACCCATTTGAGTCACCTGCACCTGTCCTAAACTAACATGAAATAAAATATTATTTGGGCCTTAGGCCCAATTTTCACCCGTCCTAAATTTCTAACAGAAATAATAATAAGACGACAAGGGCTTAGGCCCAAAATAACAAAATACAACTTCTTTGAAAATAAAGGTGGGCTTTTTGGCCCAATCCTTTCAATTCTCCACTGCTTCGAATTCTTTCAACTCCGAGACCTGTACATCAATTATTTTGGACTTGATAGGAAACATAGAATTGGGCCTATAAGGCCTAATTCCGCGAAATGCAAGGGGAGGGAGCCTCCGAAGACTCGGAAGGAAGCAGTTCATGCATAGGAAAAGAATAAAACAAGATGGAAATTAGAAATGAAACATATTTTAAAACTTTACAATATAACTAAGGCATATGAAAATAGAAATAAGGTGAAAACACACATGATTGGTTCACTATACATAATGCAGAGATGACCCAAAGACTCCATACAACACTTACAAACTATTTGCTTAAAGATGAAATGAGACTTACATGATAAAATAAAATACTACAATATGATGACGAATAAACAATCAAATTAATAGTGGTCAAATGGAGAGGATTTAGGCATAGCTACTTAGACAAATATAATAACAGAGAAACAATTATCAAGCGAAAAAATGGAACAAATTATTGAGGTTGGTGTCATTAAGCTAAAACAAAATAAAAATAAGTAAGAAAAGACAGTATGAAACTAAGCAAAGGCAATAATAAACCCATGTACAGAATAGACTAAATTTGAGCATTTGACCATGAACCAAAACAGCAGGGATGAGAAAATAAAAAAAATCGATATCACTTAAACTCTCATTCAAGACGGGGAATAACATTTAACTTGTGCAACTCTCAAAGAAGCATGACTAATCTTAAAACTTAGTCACTAAACATTAAACTCAAAGCACCCAAATCATTTTAGGGAATCAAAAATACATCAGACCAATCCTATAAAATCGAGTCATTCTTTAAATGCTATGGACAACAAGAAAGCGTAGACAACTAAGATTAAAACCCACGACAATAGCAAACGAAGGCTCTATTAAGCTTAAATGAGATTAAAGAGAATCAGACTATATCTTCGAAACACTCTAAGGAAGTAAAGCACTGAAACGAGGGCATACCAAAACGACATTCAGACATCAAATGAAGCAGATGACGGAATAAGCTTGAACAATGAAACGTAAAACTCACCATGTAAACAGATCTTTATAACTTCCAGATTTATACTCAAATGACTACAAATTTCTATGGACTTAATAGGCTATTCAAAAGACATTTAGGTAATAACGTTAAAGAAAGAATCGAACCAAACGGTAACTAAAGACTAAAGATTTGACCACAAATGAGACCATGATGTAAGAAACTTGGAGAAGACTAAATAAAATGCACCTCAAAACATAATACTCTAGCAGCAAACAGGGGATACAACATTCTTAATTTTCAAGTCATATTAAGAGGCACATAAACTCAAAAAATAAAGAAATAGTCATTCAGGCAGTAACGAAGCAACACACACTACTTACAAAGAGGAACAGCAAGAAAGTAGGGATGAGAATGTCACCTCTTCTTGGGCAGCTCCCTGGGACAACGAACAGCGAACAGAGCAACGACTTCACCACCACCGTGCACTTCGAAAGAAACTCGACAGAAAACAAGCGGAGCGAATGAAGCTAGTGTCGAAAAATGATCCTCTTCTCTACTTCTAGTTTACTGTATTTCCTTCCAAATTCCAGCGACTTCCTCTTAATGTTCTCCTCACTTTTCTCTAATGATTCTCTAACACAAAAATTTTTAAACTCAAGAAAAAATTCCCCCCCTCTTTCAACAGTGAACCAAAGCAATTATATAGAATCCACATAGGGTTCGGAAAAAATGGGGGGAAAAGGGACGAAAATACAGGTTCAAGGCCCATTCCAAATTCGAAATCAAAAATCTTTCACAAATTTGGACAAACACCCTTTTTCTTGCAAGTTTCGTCCCATTTCGGAAGAGGAAAGGGCGAATTGACGCTCCGGATTGATTCACCCGTCATTGGGCGCGACGTGGCTCCATCTCAAGGCCACAAGGACAAATTTTGCGTGCAGGCAAGTGCCTTTTTGCTGCTGTTGCAGCGATTTTGGCTGGGTTTCATTTGATTTGCTGTATTTTCCGGGTTGTACGCAGGAGGAAGAAAGCGTAGGGGTGGGTTGGTTGCGAGAAAATGATCAAAATGGTCTTTGATGTATAATGGTTGTTTTATGTTGACCCTTAATATATTTCACATGATCTATATGGTCCTTGATGTATTATAAAAGATGATCAATTTGATCCTTTGACCTAAAACTAACAGATACATCAAAAAACTCATGTTAACTTTAACATCGGGTCCCACTTCAAAATAAACCGCGAAAACTTTCTCATCTCCTCATAAGCCATAGCGCCAAAGGTGCCCTAATTTTCTCCATCTTCATCTCTTTGAAGTTTCACTATAGAATTCTATATGCAGTAAAAATACTTACATTCTTCTTTATTACCAAGAATGTTCATCAAAAGAAATGGTGACAAAGAATCAACTCTATATTATGGTAAGATTTTTGTTTTTAGATTTTATGTTTTGCGTGTATTTTACTACTCTGCTTGTTGTTTCTCTTATGACTTCTTATGTCTCTGTCTAGGTAAAAGTATTGTCTTTTGTTAGTTTTGAGTTTTTCAACAAATGCATAAAGTTTTAGATAAGGGTCTCAGAACCTAAGCCTTTAATCTCGTAAAAAATATTCACTAGTGGTCCCAAAAATATTATATGTAGGTGGTCCTCATAATTTTTTTTTACAGATCCGGTGTTCGAGGCTGGATTTTTTAGTATTAAAATTAATCATATGGGACTAATGAAGCATCAACCAAGGAAAATTTATGTTGGAGGAATGGTGGACTATTTTGATTATGTTGAAGCAAAAAACCTTAATTTAGCAGATTTGAAGCAGATGGCTGTTATGTGCGGCTATATGAATGACTCGGAAATATTTTGGCATAAATTTGGAAAGTTCGGTGATAGGTGGAGATTAGTGTCTACTGAAGTAGAAGCTCTCTCAATTAAAAAATTTATCCCGAATGATAGAGTAGTTGAGTTGTATTTTGAACATTTGGACTCCTACATTGAAGTAGATTCAGGTGAGATTCTAGGCCACACAAATTGTACATTAAATCAAGAGCATATAGAATGTGGTGACACATACAATTCTGATGAGTTTGAAGATTCAGAAAATGAATTATCCGGTGACGATGTCATCCTTGAAAGACATGGACAAAAAAAGCAAAGCTTTGAGGATGGAAGGAAACTTATTAATGACGAAGTTCTGAGGAAATTGTCTAATGAAGATGGAGATTCAGATTGTGTGGACTCTGAAGATCAGAAGAGTTTGAATGGTGATTCTGATAATGAGTGCTTTCATTTTCCAAAGCATAACCCAAAAACTGAAGCAAAACATCCTATATTAGCATTAGAATATACATTTGGAAGCAGGGAGGAGTTCAAAAATGCGGTATCAATTCATGAGGTAAAAGCTGGGAAGAGTATTAGGTGGATAAAAAATGATGGAAAAAGAGCAAAAGCGAAGTGTAGAAATTCAGATTGTAAATGGGTAATTATGGCATCGGTAATGCATCGAGACAAGGCATTTCAGATTAAAACTTATGATTCCAAGCATACCTGCAAACGTTGGAACCATCGTAACAAGACAATAACCTCTTCTTTCATTGCAAGAATGTATCTTGATGCTATCAGTCAAAACAGAGAGTGGAAGTTGTCTGACTTTAGAGACACGGTCAGTGTGGGACTTAAAGCTCATGTTACTTTAGCTCAAGCTAGAAAGGCTAAAAAGAAGGCACTTGCATTAATTGATGGAGATGTGAAAGAACAATTTTCCATCCTTTGGGACTACTGCCTTGAAATTGGAAGATCAAATCCTGGAACTTCAATGTATATGAAGCTAACTCAAAACGAAATGCCGAACAAACCATATAGATTTCAAAGAATCTATGTTTGTTTTGTTGCTTGTAAGGAGGGGTTTAAGGCTGGATGTAGAAAAATATTGGGTGTGGATGGGTGTTGGTTGAAGGGTCAAATGTATGGATATCAGTTGTTGACTGCAGTTGGCTTGGATGCCAATAATAATATTTTTCCAGTGGCCTATGCAGTTGTAGAAAAGGAAACTAGGGAGACATGGTCATGGTTTTTGACCTGCTTAATTGATGATTTGGAGATTAATGATCAAGTTGATTGGACCTTTATGTCGGACAAACAAAAAGGTCTCATTGAAGCGTTTAATGAAGTTTTGCCATCCGTGAGTCATAGATTTTGCGTGAGACATCTTCATAATAATTTTAAGAGGGCTGGTTTTAGTGGTTCCTCGCTAAAATGTGCGCTTTGGGCTGCTGCAAGTGCTACAACTGTGGAATTTTTTAATGCTCGCATCAATGACATTGTTAAATTGGATGCCGAAGCTGCTATATGGTTGAAAGAAAAGGAACCTATTGAATGGTCTAAATCACATTTTTCTCCCATTGCTAAGTGTGATATTTTGTTGAATAATATGTGTGAATCGTTTAATAGTATGATACTTGATGCTCGAGATAAGCCAATCATCACTTTGTTGGAAAAATTAAGATATCTTCTTATGGCTAGATTACAAGCTAATAGGGATAAAGCTGATAAATGGAATTCTGATGATATTTGCCCTCGGATTAAGAGTATTCTGCACAAAAATGAAAAAGATGCTGCTGGTTTTATTCCTAAAAAGTCGAATGAATGGAACTTTGAAATTCTTGGCGGAAGTGTGAGCGACATTTGGGCTGTGGACCTTGCTGGCAGAAAATGTAGCTGTAGAAAATGGACCATTACAGGAATCCCTTGCAAGCATGCTATTTCGGCAATTTGGCATAAAAATGACGAGGTTATTAATTATGTGGATGACTGCTATAATGTGGAAATGTATAAGCGAATCTATGAACCAGCTATTCTTCCAATAAATGGTTCACAGTTGTGGCCTAAATCAGGCAAGATCCCTCCTTTGCCTCCAATCTTTTCAAGACAAAATAAGTCTGGGAGAAAGCAAAAGTTGAGAAGGAAAGAACAAGATGAAGTAGGATCAAGTAGAACTAAGATGAAGAAGAAGCAAACATCAGTTAACTGTAGTCGATGTCACAAGTCTGGCCATAATACGAGAACTTGCAAGTTTAACTATGTACAGCCAGAAGGAGGAGTTTTTGAGTCAGCTTGTAGGATGCCTTCTACTTCATTTGTACCTGAAAAGTTGCCGGTAAATATTTTTATACCTAAGTAAGTTAGCTTGAAATCTTAAAAGAATCTGATTTTTTTCCTTCTACAGGTTAGAAGAACAAATTTTATCCATGATGATAATGTTGCGTCGTCCGACATGAATATTTAATCTGGTATCTTTTTTATTTGGCCACACCTACTCTTTTTTTTGGGTTTATATATTAGTTAATGGTGATTTTATATGTTTCAGAAGGATAGCTATTTTGAAGTGGCCATATTTTTGTTGATTATTTGATAGCTGATTGAAGTGGAGAATTTTTTGAGTTTTTGCGGCTAACTGGTTGAAGTGAAGATATTTTGTTGGTTTCATGCTAGTAGCTGGTTGATGTGAAGATATTACAAATTAACTTTAGTATTTCTTTTGTTGCTTTTGTTCATATTTTTGAATTAACTCATGTAATGTGATTTTGATAAGTTGCGACGTTGAATCTAAAGGATCTATGCTCTTACTTCTTGTCCCCTTATTTCAAACCCAAAAAAAGCCTTGATCGATATGAGAAAGATGTGATCGTATAAAAATTGAAATAAGAATCTTGGAGTTGGATAAATGGTCCCAACCCTTGATAAGCACCAGAGCTACGTAAACTGTTTTGCAAGCAAATAGATCTTCAAAAATTGCATCACTTCCCTGTTAGTTATCATTATTTGCTGCCCTTACAACAACATCAAGTATCATAGATATTTCACCTTGGATGTATCTACTTTGAAGTAACTTTTTTAAAGCTTAGAATCTATCAGAAACCATCTCTCTATCTTCACAAGGTAAGGATAAGATCTACGTACATCATATCCATTCCGAACTTCACTAGACATGAGTGTGCTCATTAAAAGTGCACCAGATGTGCCAATACTTCACTAGACATGAGTGTGCTCATTAAAAGTGCACCAGATGTGCTAATAAAATGTTTCAATGCACCAAATTTTTCCATTGATTATAAGCACATATGCTCAATTTACATTAAAATTCTCAATATTGATGCACCAGGTATTCTCAATAAATGCACCAGATATGTTCAATTTGCACCAGATTCTACAATGACAAGGGACCAAATTTTTAATGTAAAATCTGCACTTCAATTATAAAAGCTAAAGCACCATATTTTTGAGAAAAGAAGTTGTCTATACAATTACATACACTAAAGATTACAGATCAACCTATGGAAACTGACTTGCACGATGATTCAAAAGATCAAATCGCAATTAGATATCAAATCTAGAGTAGAGTCATACAAGATAATATACCAACACACATTCTCTCTACTTTTGGCATTAACCAATTTGCTCTTCATTTTTTTTCACCTTTTCGTTCTTTTTTTCAAGCTCATTTCTAATCTAGAGATATCGACTCCGTCTCAATCTTCCTTTTCAACTAATGTTATCGCATGATGCTACTGTCCATTTTCAAATACTTTCAGCTTCACTCCGTTTCTTTACTAATTTCGAAATCAAAAACATTGATCGTGAATCAATTTCATCCCTTTCTAACAGGGCTTTGATTAGATCTTCTGTATGTATCTTAAAAAACAATCAATTTTTTACACAACAACAATGAAAGACTTCCAGAATTTCTTTCTATTAAAATCACTTAGCATCTTTGAATTGGAGTAGCAATTGGGGATTCAGAGATGAACTAAAATGAGAAAAACTTCATCTTTCTTGACATTTTGCAGTGAAATTTGTGCTAAATGAGAAGAGAGAAGTTTGCTTTAATGGTTGAGGAGCAAAAAAATAATATCCACAAGCTCTTCTAAAACAGATCCGAAAATGGAGAATGAAGGGGAAAGAGAAAACTTTTGAGCGTTTTAAATTTTGCATGTGGGACCCGACGTTAAAGTTAACCTGATTTTTTTGATGTATCTGTTAGTTTTAGGTCAAAGGATCAAATTGATCCTCTTTTATAATACATTAAGGACCATATAAGTCATGTGGAATATATTAAGGATCAACATAAAACAACTCTTATACATTAAGGACCATTTTGATCATTTTCTCGTTGGTTGCTGTTGCTGTTGCTGTACGTTGTATGCTTGTAGCTGCTGATGTGTTGGCGTGGGATTAAAAGGGAAAAAGGGATGGGGATGGGTCGGTTCTGGCACTGTATGGGCTGCTGGAAGTGGGCTGCCATAATTAAAAGGGTAAACTACATAAATCTCACTACTTTACATCCTAATTACTAGAAATTCCATTAGTTTTCAATATTACTGCCTATATCATTTTTCGTTCATAAGATACATGGATAATAAACCTTAAGATACATGACTCTATTAGAATTTAAAAGATACATGTTTTAAAGGATATGATACATATTTTAATTAATTTGAATTAATTGTTTTAGTTTAATTCCTTAATTAAAGGAGTAAGTTATGGGAGATATAACAACCATAATGTAATTATGGCTCCATCTTATCATCAACAACTAATATCATCAAATTATTTTCTGAACTTATCTTCTTCATCAAATTATCGTCCTTTTGAATCACCAAATTTTCTAAATTTCTTTTGATCATGGCGAATATCACAATATTATTGAGTCATTCTAGTTCATGGGTATCTAAAATCGAATTTGAAAATTATAGAAGATACATGTATCTGTCGACTTTTAAAATCAAGATACATATTTCATTTGTTTAAATTAATTAGTTGTAACTCAATTCCTTAATTAGAGAATTAATTGAGATACATGTATCATTACTCGCGAGATACATGTATCCATCGATTTTAAAAGTCAAGATACATGATTTATAACTTTGAATTAAAGAGGTATAACTTATTTCCTTAATTAAAGGATTAATGGATGAATGATTAACAATCAAAACTGATTTACATGATCCTTGATTATCAACTTTAACAAGTTTTCCTAAAATAATGAAATCATAAATCATAGTAATTTTGTAATTGTAAACTTCATCTTCTTCATTAATTCCCTCTTTTGTATCTTAAATTTTCGAATATTTCGGCCTTGAGATACATGTATCATTTTTCGTGAGATACACGTATCTATCGGTTTTAAAAGTTGAGATACACAATTCATTATGTTGAATTAAAGGGGTGTAGTTTATTTCATTAATTATTGAATAATTAACAAACCAAACAGATTTACAAGATACTTGTGTATCAACTCTAACAAGTATTCCTAAAATAACGAAATCATAAATCATAGTAATTCTGTAATTGTAAACTTCATCTTCTTCATCAATTCCTTCCTTGTATCTTAAATTTCCGGCTTGAATGTTGGCGGATGAAGACCCTACAATGACAAAAACCTAATTTGTAAAAGTTTATACAATCAAATTTTACACCAATATGAACTCTATCTCAAATGCATGAACGGAATGTAAACCAAGATACATGAGAATAATGAAAAATAATAATAATTTACCTCATTGATACAACAATTATGTTGAAAAAACCTTGAACTTCTTCTGGATAATATTAGACATCTGAAAGAAGCAAGTTAATGACAAGTTTATAGAAAAGATGTACGGACCATGACGATAATGAATATGAGTTTGTATATGATGTTGATTACCACAATTTGGTTAAGGGAGAGAGAGAGATGGGGTGGAGGTGAACAGTAGGGTAATGAGAAAATAATTTGTGTACCATTAATTGAGGAGTTTAAATTTTAAGATAATTATTCAATACTATATTTAAGGGATTTGTGTATCTGATTAAATCTTTTAAAATATATGGTATAAATATTTAAAATGGTATTATGTGTAATTTTTTTAAACTAGAGGTAAAATAAGTATATATGGTAGTAAAGTATGTCTAGTTAGATAGTTTTTCCTAATTAAAAATTAGAGTGGAAAAAAAAATGATGGGTTGGAACGCATGGAGGGGCTGGGAATTTTAGGAGTGGGCTAGGGGTTAATGAAAAAGAGGCTCAAATTGATTTCTTAAAGGTTTAAAGGAGGTAAAAGAAAAGACTAAAATCATAAAAAGAAATATAGCCAAATTGATTTTAATTTGCAAAATCGGCTAAAATCTAAATAGGAAGAATTAGCATAACTAATTAATGAGCTTCTTACCTTTCATGAAATAAAAATAATTAATTTTATTATATATAAAAATAAATTTTATTAAATGCTAATTAACTCAAAATTATAAATAATTAATAACTAAGCAAACTAACCAATTATTTAGTTAAACAAAACCTTTTGAGACGATTTTCGAATATTTATAAAATTCAAAAATATACATATATTATTTAAAAATTATAAAAGTGACAGCCTATTAAAAAACTAACTTGAAAAAAATATTTTGAATGTTATAAAAGTCAATTATTTTAAATCGTTTGAAAATTAAGAAGCTCGCAAATTAATTATTATCGGGGAGGGTCAAAATTGGGTGTCAACACTTCTAATTTCTCTTATAAATATAGAATTCATAGTCACAACATTACACATCTCAAAGAAAAAATCTCACAAAAATGGCATTGCCTAATAAGATTGGAGACGAAACTAATGAAGTCCTCGCTGCTCAAGCACATATATTGAACCATGTGTTGAGACAACCTGGCGAACTGAAACATCTTAGTAGCCAGAGGAAAAGAAAGCAAAAGTGATTCCCGTAGTAGCGGCGAGCGAAATGGGAGCAGCCTAAACCATGAAAACGGGGTTGTGGGAGAGCAATACAAGCGTCGTGCTACTAGGCGAAGCAGCCTGAATGTTGCACCCTAGATGGCGAAAGTCCAGTAGCCGAAAGCATCACTAGCTTACGCTCTGACTCGATCATCAGATTATAAGTTCATAACCCTAGTCCATTCCCATTTTGGGCGGAACAGATCTACTAATTCTTTGATTCCAGTTAGTAAGAGGGATCTTGAACTAAGAAATAGACCCTAGAAGCTAAAAAAGGCTATCCTGAACAATTGCAATAATCGGGCTCATTGATATTCCTGGTATAGTAGATGCTATCACACATACAATCATACTCAATTCGATGGAATTGTTTGATCTTAAAGGGGATCTTCTATAATTTCGCACGTAATTACGTCAATTC